TTTTTTGAGACAGGGTCTCACTATGTAGTTGAGACTGACCTGGAACTCACTATGTAGTGCAGGCTGGTCTCGAACTCACAGTAGTCTTCTTGCCTCAGCTTCCCGAGTGCTGGGATTACAGGCATGAGCTACCACCCCCAGCTAGGAGATTGTATAATTTTAATGTATTAAAATAAATTATTTCTGAAGCATTTTAACACATTGCTTTGTTACTATGAAGAAAATACGTATGATTAACTTATAAATTTATATAATTGAAGTTTTACATGTATAAGCCATAGGTCTTAATGCAAGGTCTTAGTTTATTTCAAAATTTTCTTTTAAAAAATTAATTTTTGGGCTGGGGCTTTAGCGCAGTGGTTCTGCCACCTGCCTTGCAATTGCAAGGACTCAAGTTTGATCCCTGGTACCCCCCCAAAAAATTTTTGATTTTCATCTCTTAGATCTCTGTTTTCTTCCATTACCATCTTTAGTGGTTGATTCTCTTTTGGGGTTCCTTTTAGTTGTATTTGTTTAAGTAGTTCTGTGATTTATGAGCATGTGTGGTGTTTTTGGTTTTGTTTTTTGTTTTTTTTGGTTTTTTGAGACAGGGTCTCACTATGTAGCCCAGACGAGTCTCAAACTCACAATGATCCTCCTACCTCAGCCTCCCTGAGTGCTGGGATTATAGGCGTGCGCCACCATGCCCGGCTTGTTTTGTTTTTTTTTGTTTGTTTGTTTGGTTTTTTTTTTTGATTAGCAAAAGTTGGGTTTTATTTTCCCAGGGTCTTAGTTACTTCCCTTTAAACTGGGAAAGAGTATCTGATATTCACAATTTAAGGAAGGAGAGGTTTCTTTGCACTGTGTTTCAGTTGGTGTTCATCTGGCTACAAGGCAGACAGCATGGCAGAGGAGCCTGGCCTAGGAGAACTGCATGTGGTAGATGGACAGGAAGCACAGACTTGGGAGCATTAATTACTTAACCACAAGAAAATATAAAAATACCTGGGCTGAAAGTGACAGTTATCTATGGACATAAATAAGATCCCTGCCTCAGTGAAGTTAGAAGTTGTGGCATATGCTGTTATGGTAATGCATGTGTGTACATCTAGCACTTTGAGGCTGAGGCAAGAGGATAGAAATGTGAGGCCAACCTGGACTACGTGGTAAGACCCTTCTCAGAAAAAGAAAAACACCACTACCAACCAACCACTAAAAGAGAAGTTGCAGTGTGTGTCGTGGATCTTTCTTTGTTGCCAGTTTTAAGTAGTAGAATCCTTAATGTTGAACCCTCAGGTGTCAGGGTTCATTGTATAACACAGCATGTGAACAAAAGGGGGTCTTTTGCATGATCAGAGTACTTTAAGGAAACATGTTTTTTGTTTGTTTTTTTGGTTTTTTTTGAGACAGATTCTCACTATGTAGTTGAGACTGACCAGGAACTCACTGTGTAGCCCATGGTGGTCTCAAACTCACAGAGATCTTCCTGCCTCAGCCTCCCCAGTGCTGGGATTATAGGCGTGTGCCACCACACCCAGCTTCAACATGTTATTTTAAAGTAGGGTGAATCATAACAGTTTGCTTTGTTTTCTTCCATTGCTTCTTTTAGCCAAATATTGTGCAGCTTCGTGACCGACTTTGCAGAGCCCAAGGAGAACCTGTACCAGGACAACAGTCACCAAAAACTCCTTATGAGAGGCAGCAGCTGGCCAAGGGCCGACCTGGACCAGTGGCTGGCCACCCACAGATGCCAAGAGCTCCAAATCAACAATATTATACTCATGTGAGTGCATGGTCTCGGTGAAGGAGGAATATTTAATCATTATACTATATAAATTCATAGTATAGTATTCCTTTGTTGGGCAGAAGATTTCCTCTTACATGGTAAAACTAGACAGCACTGTTTAAATATACTGTCAGGATTTTTCAAAGTGGTAGTTCTTATCTACTATCCAAGATTATCTTGTTTTTTTGTTGTTTGTTTGTTTGTTTGTTTTTGTTTTTTGAGACAGAGTCTCACTATGTAGTTGAGACTGACCTGGAACTCACTGTGTAGCCCAGGCTGGTCTAGAACTCAGAGCGATCCTCCTGCCTCAGCCTCCGTAGTGCTGGGATTACAGGCATGCACCACCACGCCCGGCTCCAAGATCATCTTTTTAATCTGGTCAGATTATACTGTAGGCATACATTAGTTTTTTATTTTTATTTTTTGGTACCAGGGATCGAATTCAGGTCTTTGTGCTTGTGAGGCAGGTGCCGGAACTACTGAGCTAAATCCCCAGCCCTAATTAGTTTTAAACACTCTAGGGGAAATTTGTTATAATCTCTTTACATGTGTCCATCTGATTTTCTTTCCTTCCTTCCTTCCTTCCTTCCTTCCTCCCTCCCTGCCTGCCTGCCTGCCTGCCTGCCTGCCGGCCTCCCTCCCTCCCTC